GGAACAGCACGTCGGTCAAGCCAGAGACTACTCGCGAGCACGGCAGCGTGCAAGAAGCAATGGACATTGCTTCCCTCGACATCAACATGGCCTTCCTGGAAGGGTTGACCTACCAGTAGCTTGCTGAGGCAATTGGTGGGACAGAACGCGTGGCGTGCTTTACTCTGCCGCCTGGATCGGCTACGGCGCTTCGAACTCCCCCAGGATTCGAGCACTACGGCGAGTCGAAGCACTGCTTGCAGTGCTTCAGGCCAGGTACTGGCGCCAAGGACGCACCTCGAGCATTCTCACTAAAGCTCAGAAGGACCACAAGAGGCTTCGGTCTCAGGCCCACGTCCCACGACGAGAAGTTCGAGGCGAGCAGCAACCTGCTCACGACCAAGCAGGTTGACGACATCAATATGGCCAGCACCGAGGACACCATTGACACGCACGTCAAGTGCGTGGAGGACACCTTTGGTAAGTGTCAATTCAACAGGCACACATGCACCAGATGCGTTGTGAGATACACCAAGGATGAGGACGGCAGTGTTACGTTGGGCCAAGACGAACACATAAAACAGCTCCGTCCTATACAACATCCTGAACTTACAGGCGCCGGCGCTGACGCCCAAGCATCAGGGATGGTTGCAGACATGTTCGTCCGCCTCAGAGGCGCATTGGCGCATGCATTAATCACCCAGGTGTGGTTGATGGTACATGTTGTCATTCTACAACGCGCCCTAGAACCGACCAACATGCCAGCGCGACGACTGAACGCGATTACCAGGAAACTGCAGGCCTGCCCCAAGAAGATCGTCTACCAGGCGATGATCCCCACGGGCGAGGTCGACCTGCACAGCGACTCAGGTTATCGACGCTTTAGAGGAGATGCCGATGACGAAGTCAAAGGCTATGGTACTCGCGGGGCAAACCTGCTGCGGCGTGGAAGCACGCCATCTGGCAAGCCTGTCATCCATTTGATCGGTGCGCACTGCAAGTCTCACCGCTTGCAGGCACGCTCGAGCTATTCAGCAGAGACACTAGCAGCAGCCCATTGGAGGATTGCTATCCCACAATCGTGACTCTGCACGAGCTCCACGCAGAGCCGCTAACCCCCACTCAGTTGCAAGACATACTTCAGTTGGGTGGCCTGAGCCTCGAGGTCACTTTGACCATAGATGCTGAGTCTGTTTAAAATTCCTTGCCACGCAAAGACTTGAAGAAGCCGACTGAGCGTACCTTTTTAGGACACATCAGCTGGATACGACAGGATGGAGCGAGGAATCGCGCACAGTATTCAATGGTGCGACACCCGCGGTATGACCGCGGACTGTCACACCAAGGGGAGCATCGACAGAGAAATGTTTCTACAGGTCATGGGAGGCACGCAATCCTTCAAACATGACTTAAAGCGTCATACTCCTTATCGGGCTGGCCAGACATCTCCGTCTGCAGCCGCCTGAGGAGTACTCGCTTGCACAACAAGGCGCAGGCAAGGCAACTTGCGCGCGGGCCCACCTTCCTTATGGTCCCGCCCTTTTGCTACCCTTCTGTATATAGTAGCTGCTGTACCTGCTGCAAAGAAGCGGCAGACTCACGCTTCGTCTCCCTCTCCTCCTTCTCTAAAGTGAGCTGGGATACAGGCGAGAGGTAACGAGCGCGCGTCCGCGGCCGTTTGTGCCCAAGTAGCCGGCCGCCCAAATCTGAGAAAGAGCGTGTTCTACCGCTGTTGGCGGAGAACCGGGGGGGGGCACTACCGGTTCGACCTCCCCCCCCCCCAAAAAAACCGAGGGGGGTCACTACCGGTTCGAACCACCACCACCCCTCGAAAACCGGGGGGGGCCACCACCGGTTCGAATCCCCCCCCCTTTCCCTCGAAAACCGGGGGGGGTGCGGACAGTGGCGGGGACGGTGGTTGTGGGGACAGTGGCGAGGGGACAGCGGGACAGTGGTGGGGACAGTGGGACAGTGGTGGGGACAGTAATGGTGGGGACAGTGGTGAGGACAATGGTGGGAACAGTAGGGACATTGGGACAGTGGTGGTGACGGTGGTGACGGGAACGGACAGCGGGAATGTGGTGGAGACAGTGGGACAGTGGAGGGTACAGTGATGGTGGGGACAGTGGTGAAGGCGGTGGTGAGGATGGCGGTGGGACAATGGGACAGAGGTACAGTGGGGACAGTGGCGGGGACAGTGGGGACAGTGGTGGGAACAGTGGGACAGCTCAGCGGGATAGCGGAGGAGTCAGTGGGACAGTGGGGATAGTCGGGCGGTGGTTGGGGCCGTGGAGAAAGTGGGGAGAATGGAACCGTGGTGGGAACAGTGGTGGGGACAGCGGGGACAGTGCGACAGTGGTGGGGGCACTGGTGCGGACAGTAGGGACGGTGGTGGAGCCAGCGGGGACAATGGTCGTGAGGGCAGTGGTGCTGGGGAGAATGGAACCGTGGTGGGAACAGTGGCGGGGACAGTGGGGACAGTGCGACAGTGGTGGGGGCACTGGTGGGGACAGTAGGGACGGTGGTGGAACCAGTGGGGACAGTGGTGGTTGTGAGGACAGTGGCGCTGGGAACAACAGTGGGGGATGTGGTGCGGACCGTGGTAGGGACCGGGAGTCGTTTGCTGGCGGCGAGGGGGGGGGGGGGGAGGGGTTCGAACCGGTAGTGACCCCCCCTTCCGGTTTTCGAAAGGGGGGGGGTTCGAACCGGTAGTGACCCCCCCCGGTTTTCGAGGGGGTTAGGGGAGGGGGGGATTTTGCCGGGGGATGGGACGGGGGGGGGTGTTTTCGGAGGGGGGGGGAACCCGGGCTCCGGAGGAAGAGGGGGGGGAAAATGTTCCACAGTAAAGCGGCGGTGGATCACGCTCTCTTAAATTTGACAACACGTCAGTGCGACGTGTACCATCGCCATCGAGACCGAAATCATTTTTCGCTTGAGATGGCACGTCGTTCCCGCGACGACCTCCTACTACTGGGATTATCGCTACTACGATACAACAGAGCTGGACCTGGGCTTCGCCTAAAGTCAAGCTGCTGGTTGGGCCTCCCAACCCTTTTTCAAGCTTCTTGGGCCATATTGGGGCATTATTGGGGGCCTCTAGAGCCGTCTTGATCCATCGGACAGCCGAAAAGGCGAGAAGGCTGCAATCATTCAAATCATCATATGAAATAAACGAGTTTAGCTCCTGGGGCTCTCTTGGGTTTTCTCTTGGCGCTCTCTTTGAGCTTCTCGGGAGCCGTCGTGGGTCCATCTTGGGCCGTCTTAGAGGCATGATGGGGCAACTGCGTATTTTTGGGTGGCGTTTCAGCTGCTTTGGAGACGCACTGGTCCCACGTTGGAGACAATACTGGGTTATCTCAATCGTCTGAGGGCCACATTGGATGCCGTTTGGGCCGTGCGCGGTTGCAGGAAACCCGAAACGGCGAGATCGGCGAAATCATGGTAAAACCATGAATTAAAGCGTTTGGTGGCGGTTGGGAATCACCCCCCTTTCGGCCGCACGATTTGAAGTTTTGCTGTTGGCGTTCGGAGAAGGAAGAGAGAGAAAGAGAGAGAGAGATGGGGGAGATACGAGTGAGGGAGAGAGAGAGAGAGAAAACACAAAAAAGTAGAGATAAAAATAGGGTGGAGAGAGATTTGTTCATCCTCCCTTTCAGGCTCATCCTCCCAACCGTCCTCTTTCTCTTGCTCCTCCTCCTCCCCTTTCCCCGTTCCTCCTTCCCCCCCTGCTCTGTTAAACCCCCACTCAATGGTGATTGGGAAGGCCTGGCCTGGCGCATAGGAGTGCCAGAACGGAGTGCCAGAACGGGAACGCCCAAATGGAAACCCAAAAAAAAGCGTGGTGGCAGAATTTGTTGGGAACACCCTCTCAACCAAAATATACATAACCATAGCTACGCAGACAGACATAACAGACAGACGCGCCAGCTTCAGAATCCCAGGGCCAGCCACCCGTCGACTGAGTATACCCGGACGACTACACTGGAGGCTGCACGGTAGACGAACTCGTTGACGCGGCCCCGCGGCAACCTTAGGGGGGACGACACGTCCATGGCAAGCCAGAAAGAATGGTCTCAAAATTGACGCGGAGTGGTGGCCGCAGACCAAGCGCTCCGTCACAAGCAAAGACCGTGCGTAAAGTTCTCTAGTACGGACCAGCAGGAGCGCACCCGAAATTTCCCAGTTGGCACCAGGTTTTCATGGCATGAAGGTGTGTTCTCCTTGGCCCCATGTGCCCTACCGAAGCATAGAGTAACCCAAGCAGACAAACACCGCGAGGTGAACGGAGGAGCGGTTGGAGGTCGTCTCTTTCGAACCATTCGCATTGGTCGGGTTGCCCCGCGTCCGACGTCTTCGATCAGCCGTCACAGGCACTCCACGGTGGCCTTGCAGAAATCGGCCAGGAGCTCCTCTGGCGGAGAAGGCACACATTGGCGAAGCACGCACGCACACGCTTCGATGTGTGGATGCGCTGGCGTGCCCAGCGCCTGTCGGATCGTTCGAAACGGGATTGGCGCATCTTTGTCTACAAACCGAAAGGACAAACACATCATCACGCCCAGCCCAAGAGGAAGCAGATGCGGCACGCATCCAGAAGAGCGCACGTGCGGTGCTGCTGTAGTTGATTGTCCCGCGCGCGAGTGTGGTGGGCGGCCTCGAGAAAAAAACGCGTGCGTGCGTTCGTGCGTGTGTGGTATTACTCTTCTTCGCTTTAATTGCAGCGCCACCTGCTTTTCTCGCGTGACGCGTTTGTTATCGCGTTCCTCGTGTCGCTGCCCCTCTTGCGACCTGCTGCTTGCCTAGCTCGCCCATCACCCTGGACCACACAGCTGAGCTCGAGCAGATTCGCCGCCTGTGCGGATGCCATTAGTTTTGTGTGTCTCCCGCCACAGCACGCCCTCGTGATCTTCACCGTGCCAGGGGAGGAAAAGTGCGGCTACGCTGGAAAACACGACCGCGCAGTGTTCACGACCGACCTCGTGGCTCCCACCACCCTTCGTTCTGCTCCCCCCCTGGGCCAGGAGAACGTCAGTTATTGGACGAGGAGCCCATCCAGCGTTGTGTTTCCAGTCCACAGCGCGGAGGCGAGACCGCATCTCTTCGAGGGTAAAGGGATGGTAGCAGGGCCGTCTAGACAATTGAAAGACGAGAGCAATTGTGGGAAGGGAGTGGGACATTGGAGAGGCATTGTCACGGACCGTCGTACGCCTCGCTGGTCTGGGAATTAGCAAGCGCAAGGCGTTGCAAGCCCAAGGCATTGGCCGGGTGATCCATTCTGCGAAGTGGTGAGGCGTCGATACAGGGGACGGTTGTTCGCGTGCGCTGCGTTTTCTCAAAGACATGGCGCGATTGCCCACCCGAGGAATCGTTGATTGCTTGCTGTTGTTCACATCTAGTCGCGTGGAGGAGGAGGAGGAGGAGGAAATCGAGTTGACACGCTGCCAGTGTGTCTCCTCGCGGCAGGCTTGTGAAGCCCAGTGCGTCGCCAAGCAAGACATCCAGTCCTGCGGTGCGTGGACATGGGGCAAGGCCAGGCTGCGTCCTCCTCCTCCTCCTCCTCCTCCTCCTCCTCCTCTGGTTTAGAAGGGCACGGGATGAGTGCTGAGTGGCATGCGTGCTCGATGGTTTCGGACGTGTTGCCAGTCCCTTCAGCGTGATGAGGAGGAGGAGGCAGAGGACGAGGTCATGGGCCGGAGAGCTACCATTCGCCAGGGTGGCCGCGCGAGGGCTCGAAGATGGCCGCGCCTCGGGCATCGCGCGGAGGGAAGCTCGAAGATGGGTGACCAAGCACTTCGTGTTTGGATCGTGGTCCTGCTGCTCTTGGTTGGCCCTCGCTCTATCGCACTGGAGGTTTCCCCCCCCTTGTTCAGCGAGGTCACGATCTCTGGGGCCGCCCAAAAGCTACCCTGGATGAGACCGTCCAGGTGACGCAATCGAGAGGTCGTGGGCCAGGTGATTCGAAAAATCCGAGGCGTCGGAGGTATGTACAGGTCGGGTGTTGCCAGAACTGCCCCTGGCCCAAGGTGCCCCCAGGATTTCCAAGGAGACCCCCACGGCCTTCAGAGCACCCCTCACGAGGCCCAGAAGGCCCCAGGGGGCTCCAAAAATTGAGCGAAAAGTTGCGGGGCACCTTGGGCCAGGGGCACTTTGAGCAACCCCCGAATGGGTCATCCTCCCTCCTCTTTTCTTTCCTTCATCCGCAAGCATTCCTTCTCTCTCTTCCCTCCTTCACCCGTCCTGCCGTCTCCTCCCTCTCACATCCTGTCCCTGCACAAAGTGCCTAGAGGCGTTGTCCCTACAGTCAACCCGCAGAGTAAGGACGAGCGACTTTTCAAACTTACCCTTGCATCCCTCCTCCTCGGCCCATCCTTGGCGGTTCTCGCTGGCCGCGCCCCGCTCGCAAAACGCCAGCATGGCCCTCCAAGGCCCTTGCACCCTTCCCGCGCATCCTTACGCTACGAGTCGGCTGTAGACGACGTCACACGTCATAGCAGCGTATCTTCTAGCCGGCTTGGAAATGCGTTTTCCTTCCACGCGTCGGTGTATGTGTTGGCAGGGTGTTCTGACCGCCTTGCGTGGCGCCGCGCTGTCCCCCGACAGCGCGGCTGAGTGTCGCCGCGCGGAGCCGATGCGCTTTGCCGCCCGCCTGAACGCACACACACACACACACACACACACACACACACACACACACACGCACACACACACACACGCACACACACACACACACACGCACACACACACACACAGGCGCCGACACAGGCGACGAGGGAGGGAACAGGAGGAAGAGGATGAGGAGGCAGAAGAGGAGGGGGAGGAGCAGGAGGAGGAGTAGGAGGAGACAGAGGAGACGAAGTAGATGGAGAAGACGGGTGAGGGGCAGGGTGACCGGGAGGAGGCAGTGGCAAAGTGTCCCAGCTTACCCATTGGCCCACCACAGCATGTTCTGCGAGCCTGTTGTGTTCTGCACGAAAGTGCTCTCAAAACGTTTCTGGCCGAGGCTGCCTCGTTTCAACACATCGGGTTGACGGCCCAAGAACATTGTTTTTGTTATGAGAACGTGTTGGGGTTCTCAGAACATGTCGTTGTAGGCCTGTAGGAATGCCTGTAGGCCTGCTCAACATCCGTCTGTGGTTGCTGCGGGGGGGGGCGGTATCACGTCATGCCGTCTCGCGTCGCCTTGTTCGAGGCTTCCCAGTGGGGTCCGAGCAGATGGGGTCAGAGGGTGGCGCCTCATCGCAAATGCATCGGCGATGCAGCTCAATGTGGAGCCCGACTTTCTCCACGCCGACGTCGCCGATGCATCGACAACGTCGGCGCGATCCTTCGACCCCATCTACTCGGACCCCATTTGGGAGGCCTTTAGTCATGCCGTCTCGCATCTACAATCAACCCACATGGTAAGGATGGGTATCCTTCCCAAAGGTACCCTTGCATCCTTCTCCCATTCGGCCCATCCTTGACCACCTTCGCTGGCCGCGCCCCGCTCGCAGAGCGTCGACATGGCCCTCCAAGGCCCCTGCATCCTTATCGTGCGTCCTTATTAGACTGGTTAACTGTAGCATCGTGACACATGGCCAGCCTGGAATGTGTTGTTCCCTCCACGCGTCGGCGTGTGCATTGGCAGGATTTCCATGGCCACCCTGCGCGGCGCCACGCTGCCCCACCACAGCCACTTGGTGTCTACTCATGCCGCCTCGCATCGTGTACAGTGGGGGCCCATTCCAAGAAGTTCCCTGCTTGCCTCCAGGGTGCCCTGGGTTTCTTGGGTTTCGATGGCTTTGCGATGGAAGACATCACGTTCCCACATCAAAAATAGTCCTGGCAACGAAACCTAACAGCGATGTGTAGGAGCATGTTTGGAAGCATTCCCCTTAAGATTCAGATGATAATCCAGTTGTAGAATTATGTTGTTCTCGCAGTCGTAGTCGCATTCGCGATGGCAGTCGCAGTGGAAACGGCAGTCGCAGTCACAGCCTCAGCCTCAGCCTGCCTCAGCCTCAGCCTCAGCCTGCCTCAGCCTCAGCCTGCCTCAGCCTCAGCCTCAGCCTGCTTCAGCCTCAGCCTCAGTCTGCCTTCAGCCTCGGCCTCAGCCTCAGCCTGCCTCAGCCTCAGCCTGCATCAGCCTCAGCCTCAGCCTCAGCCTGCCTCAGCATCAGCCTGCCTCAGCCTCAGCCTCAGCCTGCCTCTGCCTCAGCCTCAGCCTGCTTCAGCCTCAGCTCAGTCTGCCTCGGCCTCGGCCTCAGCCTCAGCCTGCCTCAGCTCAGTCTGCCTTCAGCCTCAGCCTCAGCCTCAGCCTGCCTCAGCCTCAGCCTCAGCCTCAGCCTCAGCCTCAGCCTCAGCCTCAGCCTGCCTCAGCCTCAGCCTCAGCCTGCTTCAGCCTCAGCCTCAGTCTGCCTTCAGCCTCGGCCTCAGCCTCAGCCTGCCTCAGCCTCAGCCTGCCTCAGCCTCAGCCTCAGCCTCAGCCTCAGCCTCAGCCTGCCTCAGCCTCAGCCTCAGCCTGCTTCAGCCTCAGCCTCAGTCTGCCTTCAGCCTCGGCCTCAGCCTCAGCCTGCCTCAGCCTCAGCCTGCATCAGCCTCAGCCTCAGCCTCAGCCTGCCTCAGCTCAGCCCTCAGCCTCAGCCTCAGCCTGCCTCAGCCTCAGCCTCAGCCTGCTTCAGCCTCAGCCTCAGTCTGCCTCAGCCTCAGCCTCAGCCTGCCTCAGCCTCAGCCTGCATCAGCCTCAGCCTCAGCCTCAGCCTGCCTCAGCTCAGCCTCAGCTCAGCCTGCCTCAGCCTCAGCCTCAGCCTCAGTCTGCCTCAGCCTCGGCCTCAGCCTCAGCCTGCCTCAGCCTCAGCCTGCCTTCAGCCTCAGCCTCAGCCTCAGCCTCAGCCTCAGCCTCAGCCTCAGCCTCAGCCTCAGCCTGCCTGCCTGCCTCAGCCTCAGCCTGCTTCAGCCTCAGCCTCAGTCTGCCTTCAGCCTCGGCCTCAGCCTCAGCCTGCCTCAGCCTCAGCCTCAGCCTCAGCCTCGCCTCAGCCTCAGCCTCAGCCTGCTTCAGCCTCAGCCTCAGTCTGCCTTCAGCCTCGGCCTCAGCCTCAGCCTGCCTCAGCCTCAGCCTGCATCAGCCTCAGCCTCAGCCTCAGCCTGCCTCAGCATCAGCCTGCCTCAGCCTCAGCCTCAGCCTGCCTCAGCCTCAGCCTCAGCCTGCTTCAGCCTCAGCCTCAGTCTGCCTTCAGCCTCGGCCTCAGCCTCAGCCTGCCTCAGCCTCAGCCTGCCTCAGCCTCAGCCTCAGCCTGCCTCAGCATTCAAAATGTGGCCCGGGAATGGAGTTCTGGGAACTCGAAGAACACGAAGTGGCCTACAGTTGGCTCCGGGCATTCAAAATCATGCCCAGGAATGGAGTTCTGGGAACTCGAAGACCACGAAGTGGCCTACAGTTGGCTCCGGGCATTCAAAATGTGGCCCGGGAATGGAGTTCTGGGAACTCGAAGAACACGAAGTGGCCTACAGTTGGCTCCGGGCATTCAAAATCATGCCCAGGAATGGAGTTCTGGGAACTCGAAGACCGCGAAGTGGCCTACAGTTGGCTCCGTGCATTCAAAATGTGGCCCTGGAATGGAGTTCTGGGAACTCGAAGACCACGAAGTGGCCTACAGTTGGCTCTGGGCATTCAGAATGTGGCTCGGGAATGGAGTTCTGGGACCTCGAAGACCACGAAGTGTGTAACTGTTGGCTAAAAAAAAAGTCCCCGGCATTCCCCCGGATCCCGCCCAGACCCCCTGGGGCGTCATGATGCTCTCTCTTGACCCTACTAGAAACCTATCAGTCTTCGCTGTTAGGTAATCAATGGACGTCCTGGGGTCTCAGGGTTGGGTTTCTTGTGGAAGGTTTCTTGTGGATCGGCCCCCACTGTAATGTGCTCCATGGTTTTTGAATCTCCCGCCCGCGAGCAGCGCCACGTATTCGGGCTGTCGGACGTGTGCCTCCTCCAGGCGCCCCGCCGGGCCATTGGGGGGGGCAGGGGAGCCACCGGAGGAGAGGCAGGGAAAGAGGTGCAGCAGGGAGCTCGGGCCGCACGTCCTCGTCGCTATTATCAGGCGATCGCAAACATGGATCAAGGGGGCGTGGATTAGCGACGGGTCCCGTTTCCATGGGAAATCGCGGATTTCCGCCGCCGAACGAGGCGGCACTGGCCGCATTTGGGGGAGGGCACCTCCCCCGATCCATGGATTTGGCGACCGCGCGCCAAATCCATGGATCGCTAATCCATGGTTGCGCGCCCCCGAAGAAGGGAGCTCGGGCCGCACGTCCTCGTCGCTATTAGCAATGGCCTTCGGGATAGGGCGCAGTCAGGGTCGGTCGGAGTTGGTATTTGCAGCAGTCTGCGCAGCGTCCTGCCGAATGCTCTCGTCCCGAGAGCCAAGGGTCGTACTCTTTTGTTTCGACCGCCGACCTCCCCCCCGCAAAGAGGGAGCCCGGGATGGTGAGACTGGCCGGCTGCATGGTCGATGGTTGTTTTTCTCGGTCACATTTCCCCCGGGCGGACGGCGTAGGTTCTTTGTTTGTTCCCGCGGTGCCGCTGCTGGCGCGTCGCGCCGTCCGCCGCCCTCTTGTTTGAGTGCGCTGGGTCGCCTGTGGTGCAGGGCTCGTTTCCATTCCTCTGGTTCGATTCGATTCCATTTCGATGGATTCCGATTCCGAGCTGATTCGACATCGGATTCCGACTTGAGATCCGATTTCTCGATGGAGGGCCACTAGCCTGCCGATGTCTACCGATTCGATTTTTCCCGACTCGGTTGCCGATTTCCGTCGATCCGATTCATTTCGATCGCCGAGTCGACTTATCGATTCGACTACTCTGGGCTCTCCTGCCTGGGGCGTGGTGGAGGTAGCGCAGGCGGCGGGGGGGGGTATAGTCGACAGAGGTCCGCCAGCAGCGGCTGTTAGACAAGGACGGGGTACAAGAACAGGAGGGCGGGGGGACAAGGGGGCGGCGGATGGCCAACTGCGGGCAGCGGGGGGGATAAATGGAGAGGGACGGAGGGGATGTTGGGACGGGGGTCGGGGACGGAAGCACTGCGGGGGTTTCCTCCTCCTCCTCCTCCCTCCTCCTCCTCCCCCACCTCCTCCACCTCCTCCTCCTCCTCCTCCTCCTCCTCCTCCTCCTCCTCCTCCTCCTCCTCCTCCTCCTCCTCCTCCTCCCCCTCCTCCCCCTCACCCTGCCCCAGGGCCAGAGGCGATGCCGTTGCTGGCGTTCGTTCCGGAGCGTGCCCAGGCGGCTGCAGACCCCGGAGGGTTCTTTGTCCGATGCGAACGGCGGTGGCATCCATGGCCAGTCCACGATTGGAGCCCCACGGGCTTCCAGGCCCTGGGCTCCTCGTGCCCAGCGTCGGAAGGCTGACCCCTAGCCCGCGGGCTGAGCGGGGGCCGAGGTTTGTTTGGCTTTGGCCGCCCCATGGGTCCCTCCAGGCCGCCGTGCGCGTGCGGTTGGCCTCCCGAGTTCATTGTGCTAGCACCCCTCCTCCTCATCTTCCTCCTCCTCTTCCTCCTCCTCCTCTTGCTCCTCCTCCTTCTCCTCCTCCTCCTCCTTTTCCTCCTCCTCCTCCTCCTCCTCCTCCTCCTCCTCCTGCTCATCCTCCTCCTCCTCCTCCTCCCCCATCCACGTGTCCCCATCGAGTCGACTCGGCGCCCTCCTCGTGGGATGGGGGGGGGGGGCGGGCGGGTTTCTAAAGCGCCTCCCGCGGCCTGGCTCGGTGGCCCCAGGGCCAGAGGTGAGAAAACAAGCGGCGGGGCCGCAAGGCGATCGCCGACGGGGCCGAAGGAGAGAGCCGCCCTGGCTGCGAGGGCGCGGGGCGGCTCCTGACTGTGTTTACTTCGCATGCAAGTTCTAGGCCTCGGCTGGGCACGGGGGGGACTATAATTCCCCCACCGTAGCAGGCACGTCGCCACTGCAGGAGAGAAGAAGGACCTGCTTGCCTCCCGAAGAGGGGGGCGAAGCCCTGTCCCGAACCCACGACGCGTTTTATCCAGCGGCCTCGCAGCGTGGTACTCGCGAGCGGCGACCCCCCCCACCCGCGCGCCTCCCGAATTCTTGGACGTCGTTCTTTGGGTCAAGGGAGGAGAAACCACCCAGAACACACCGACCCCCACGAATGGAGTCTATTGAATGTCTGCCCGTGTCCAAAGTGAGATCAGGCCACGCTCGCAGGGCAGTCTGTTGAGCAGGATTGCTACATGGCCTGGGAGATGCTGGAGAGGCCTTCTGGCCGGTGCCGCCCACCCTGTACGACGACGACGCCGACCACGACGACGACGGATTTCTGCATAAGTGCGGTCCGTAGTTTTCATTGTCCGTGGTGCAGGATAGGGCAGCTGATTCTCCCAACCCCTTCCTCCCCCTCCTTGTCCCCCTCCTCCCCCTCTTCCTCCTCATCCTCCTCCTCCAGTTGCCCCTTTCTCGATCGAGCAATTCCAGGCAGCCTCAGTGGATAGCAGTCCCAAAGGATCTTTTTTGCATCTCCAGCATGATGGCATGAGGGGGCCATGGGTTGGGAGCGGTGGCGGTTGGCGATGCTTGCGCGCAGTGGTTTACAACCCGCTCACTCTCCCGCCCCCGCCAGCGTTTTCGACATCTCGCCAGGCTACAAGCCAGTCGACTTCTTCACGCTCCTGGGTACCACCGCGAGGAACAGGGGGCAGCCAGCCAGCCAGGTCACACAATATCGCGTAGTCACCCATTCGTGCTGAGTGGCACTTGCGTTTCGCTGAATGCGAGTTGTTGAAGCCAACATCGAGGGTGGTCAAGGGCACGAAGCGGTAGTTCTCGTAGTCAGGTACAGACGGGGGCGGCAGGACACCGCGCTCTTCTCAACCGAATTCCCGCCGGGAGGCAAGGGGAAGGGCGCGGTCGCGGCGCAGAAGGCCATTTCGACAGAATTCACGAAATTGCCGCAGGATCTGATCAACGGTATCCCTGCACGGCGTCTGCCAGTGATTGGGATGGACCTGATACCAGAATGCGACATTGATGCGTCGAGCCCACCAGTGACATGCACGACCGCTGCGGCAGCAGAAAGACCGAAGTCTCGCACACCGAAGCCAACGCTTCAAGCACACGACTTGATGTTGCGCCACACTACAATCAGGAGGCGTGCAGTGCTGTTCTTATGCGTGGCACTGGTCGGAGGACACGCGTGGCAAAGGTGGACACTGGCTCAACATCGCAACGCCTCCGAGGAGTGGGAGCACGAGGGGAACGTCGACCAGGTCAACGCAGGCAGCATGCAGGTCGCTCAAGAAGCATCAGCTTAGCAGTTGAAGGAGACGCCCGAGCACGCTGTAAAACGCGAGGACACATTGGCACACAGCCAGCAGTCGAACGACAGTTCTGTTGGCAAGGAGAAACGTGAAAGAAGACGAAGTGAACAACGACCCAGAGGAGAGCAACTTAGAAGTGCATAGACCGAGTCGACATCTGAAGAAATACAGCAAGCAGTTTAGCAAGCAGTTGATCAAAAGGGACGTGCTGAAGGATTACGGGGCGCATGGAGGATGAGGAGATTTTACGACGCACACAAAATAGCACGGTTGTTGGCGGGATTTTGCACGGGGGGCCGATGTTGAAAGCCGTGTAATCGAGTGCCGACCTCGCGCGCCTCCGCGGCAGACTGGACATCCAAGTTCCACTTGTCTGACGTAGAAAAAGGCGCTCAGGCTCGGCTCGCAGCACATGGGGATTCGCCCGCTGAGGCACATGGGTCCTGGAGGTTACCCATTGAAAGTGCTGGTGGGCGCATCCGAGCTGAAGATCGCAAACCGTCGCACGCGGAGCGGGTCAACCCTGTCGGGGATAGCGAGATGAGGGGTTGTTGCAGCATCCCTGAGGACGCGTCGCCCACGACGGAGAGGTTGAGAAAAGTGGGCACGCAAGAAGCCTCCGTCGTGGAGAGCACAGCCCGGGTGGTCGGCACCACGCGATGTCTTACGTTCACTAGCCATGCCGAAATCGCATTACCGCCCAAGACTAGGAGGAGGTTTGGGGCCTCAGCCAGAGGATAAGGAGACCCAGGCACCAGATGTCGAGAGGTCGCTAGACTTCTTGCGCAGGTGCATCCGCGCGAATGTGCGAACCGCCGCGCTGCGGGCCGGCTAAACACAGCGACGAGCTCGGCACAGCAGGAGATGGTCCGATCCTGGTGTTCTGCGGCCTGGGCAGATCATTATATATCGCTCGCTCATGAAGGGCCCATGGAGGTAGTCGCATCGACGGCGCGAGGGCGCCACGCTGGTTCAGCAATGTGGATTCGCACGTCTAGGGCGATCGGGAGTCGCGCATCGCGCGGCACCGCGACGCCAGCAACGCATCCATTCGAGCGCGTCAACGCGTGCGCGGCGGAACGAGATGTTGCAGAATTGGCGCAGGAAGGGCAGGGGGACTTGCGCATGCGGCGCGCCTACGACAGTACGTCTGTCATCTCAGATGCACAGGAGATCGCTCGCATGGCGAACGAGTCGGGGGCGCTGCCAGGCTGCCGCGAAGCCCGTGGAAATCTGGGCATAGCGTCGGGATAATGATCTCGATCCTGAACCAGGACCCTCCGCAGCGACCGTCGCACGCGACGGTGCCCGAAGCCACCCGGGCCCACGCGGAGCCCGCAGACCCGGCCACCTCGACCTTCGCCGACGACGCGGCGAGAAAAATCACGGGCGCTGATCAACACCGTCCGCAGAGGGGGGCTTTCTGCGAGAACAGAGTCTTCCATTCCGGGTAGGAGGAGGTAGGATGAGCGCAGACCAAGGAAAAAGCTGCTCAACCTGACCCAGGGAGCAGGACCGCAGGCGGCGAACTTCACCCGTGCCTGTCACGCCGGTCGCCCCGAGCGCGAGGGGACAAACTGCTTCTGCGGCCAGGTATCTTGGGCGGCAGCAACACTTCGACAACGGCTTCTCGACTGAGAAACATATCAGGCTCCAGGCGGTCAAAAGAGCTCCG